CCCAGTGACAAAGTTTGGAAGACTTCATATTGTGTTTTCTTTAGCCCTTGCATTCATAGATGTAACAAGACAATATCATTCCTATTCAGGTCAGTTGCCTACGCAAATTATTCAATGCATCCTAGCAGACAAACAATTTGAAATGGCTATTGCTGAAAAAAAGAAAAAATCATTATTGAATTTTCATACCAAACATCAGTTAAAAACAAAGTAACCTGCTCATCATTAGAATCATAAGAATTCTGCTGAACTCCAAAGATAAACAGTAACGCTGTATTCTAAAACACATTGGTAGGAAGTTAATTTCCACTGCACTGTAAAAATCTAGGAACAGAATTTAAAGCTTTCCCATGTATCTACCCAGAACTGAGAGCTTAAGTCTTTGCAGAATCTACCTGTTAAGAGGAGAAACAGCTTTGGAGTATGTGCCTGGGTAGCTCTGTAACTGTAGCACCCTCTACTGCTTTTCTAGTTCCAAAACATGCAGTTTTACACTCAACTAAGTAGAAAATAAAATCAATGCATACTGAACATGTTGTTTCGAGTAAGAAAAGGGTTACATTATTAACTCATGCTATATGAAATTTACAAGAAAATGTTTTGCCATTCCACATAATACATTTACAACTTATGCTATAAAAGCAGCCTGAAATACATTGCTTAAGCTTCTGTGCTGAAGTCAGGTACATGTTAGATGAAAATCCCAAAACATTTTATACATCACTGCTTTAAAGCTCTGCTTTACACACACTGTAGCTTGCTTAGATTTGTGGCAATTAGTAAGGAGGATTATAATTTGGGCCTTGATCATTTCACTTACATATACAGATAATCTGAAATGATTACTGTAGGGATACAAATACATAAGCATTTCAGTCATAACTGCTTTCTCCCACTAGTGAAAAGCAGAAGGTAACATTCACAAAAGATCATTTTTGCAGAACTTCCCCCAGTTTTGGACAGCCTCTTGCAGAGGAGATTGTCTTCTGCAAGGACAGACATACTGTGTGGCTCCCTGAGCCTGCTGATGTTGTCCCACAGTGCCACTACCGAACCTTCTTCCTGGGCTCCATCAGATCTTTGAAAGGAACGACTTATAAGTAGAGATAGTCTCAGGATGTACCATCTTTTTAACAAATGGCATACTCTTGTCTAAAGTGAACGCAGCACTGATTCTTTCCTCCATCCTGGTCATCTTTTCACCGCCTCCCGATTACACATAGATGTAGCAACTGAAGGCCAGAGCACTCAGCATTGCATCCTTTTTGTGTAAAGTTCAGAGTTTTTAGAGTTTTCGTGTGCAAACTGCTCCCTCACAAAAGCTGAATAGAATACATATCCCAACACTTTCACACGGAAAGGGAAAACCAGTTCTGATTTGTGGTTTGAATTTTTCAAGTCATTGTAACAATCTTACAATGAAAATGCATCTTTCGACACATTTTTGGGAAAGACAGAATTTAAATGCAAGTACCAAGTTGGAACAAAACATTGTACTGAGGCAATTTCCAGAGTTAACACTTGGGAGCCTTGGGACACACCATTTACTACTACAGCAGTTAATTCTATTTTTGCCCTGAAGTCCTACCGGTACAAAGCAACACTTTTATAGGCAGTCACAAGTACTCCTCAAAAGCTGCTTATTGATATTTTATATAATGCTGCCAGCTAGTGGCACATCTTGTACTGAGTTTACGTCTATTGGGAGTGTACAGAAAGTGGTATTAACTAGAATCTGCCCTACCGCGCATCTTTTGATGGTGTATGGTAACACGGCTGTTTAAATACTATATAAGAAAGATCAAAAAAGTGAAACACGAAAACAACAAAGAAACACTCTCTGAAAGAGCTTCTTTTAATACAAGGCAGTCAGGAATATTACTGGAAGAGCCAAAATCAAACATAAATCTTATTATTCAAAACCAATGATTGTGTTTAAAAATTATGTAATATGCAATGTTTCAATTTTTACAAAATCTTATCTATGCAACTGTTCAATACACACATATTTCATAATCTAATAATTTGCAGCAAAACATTAATCTTCCTGATAAATACCCAACGTGGCAGCCAAAACAAACACGTAGAACACTAAAATATTAAACTGTTTTCTGATAACTCAATCCAAGCCCTTTAAGAGAAGTTCAGTGCTCAGTGAATAATGACAATAGAGGGTGTCCTAAAAGAACACTAAAGTCTATAGCTATCCAATGGGCCTCCTCACAGAACATGCTCTTGTAGATGGGATTGATAATATGTCCACTATTTGCTAGCTCCGTTGCTATTAGGAAACAGAAGAAGAAATAATCTAATATTAAATGCTAAAAGATCATTTTATAATTGTTTTTAGGATAGACTATCAATTGATAAAACAGAGTTCTTGGAGAACAGCATAGGGATTACAAAACATCTAGCTAATTTGAGAAATTATATTATAATTGAAATTTTAGAAATTACATTAGAAATTAGAATTAGAACTCAGGGCTAAAAGCAGGCAGGATTGCAAGCTCTCATTTCAACAATAGCTTAGCACAGGCCAAAGAAAGAGCAAATTCAGACCAAGGGATCATGCAGTGCACACAAATCCACTCAGGCTTGATCCAAATACAGCAGCTCAGAATACATATAGTGGGGGTCTTCACTATGATGGTGTGACACATAGTTCTGGCCTGAACACTAGGGACCTTTACTCCATAAAGGTGGTAGCAAAAAGTATGACTATTACACCCCAAGCCAGTACTGCAATGCTATCAGAAGATAACTATTGTAAAGTCACCCTGTTAGAGAGGAAACGGCTCTCTTAGCTTAGTAAAATGGACATAGATCAGTAATATGCAAGTCAATATAGAACAGACACTTCAGGACACAGACTTTTAAAAATGAGAAAACACTGGATTTGAAAACACTTAGGGATCACTGTGTATTACCAGAATAGCACAAACCTTCAAAGCAATACTGAATCCAAAAGGACTAATGTGATTCTTTTCTGTATATATGGAGAAGCAGTAAGAAGAACTACAAATGCCATATTACTTTTGTATTAGCATTACTTTCTATGTTAGCAGCCCTGGTGCTGTGCCTATTATAATCTAAGACTAGTTCCACTACCTGCAATTAATAAAAAGGTAGCTGAAATATTGGAAAAGGTTAACAGAAGAGCCAACAGCATGTTTAACAGCTGGAAAGCACATCCCAATGAAAAGTTTAAGCCGAATAATTTATCTAAGTTGGCAAAGAAAATTGAATAGCTGGTCACAGCCTAAGTACTCACAGGAGAAATCCTGCTACCATGTTTAACAGAGAAAGGTACACTGCCTTGATCCAATATATGCAGGTTAATGTTAGAGTACTGTAGACATAAAAAATAGGATTTTGTCTGCCTTTCAAAATAAATAAATACATGGGTCATTACCTAAAAATCAATATAATAACTTTTTTTTTTTCCTTTCTTCCCCTCCCCCCCAACTCTGAGGCTTGGATTTTTTTCCCCCTAATTTTCCCCTCCCACATTCAGAAAGGTTTATGGAGAATAAAGTAATGGTAATAAAAGTCCCTCTGGCTTCCTAGTCTGAGGAACTACCGCATCAAATCTTTTTAAATGCCTCCTGTAATTGAGGCAAAGTATTTTCTTCCAGATCCTAAAATGTCTAAAATCTAAATGTTTTCATCTTTCTGCTCTTGAGGAAGTATACTGTGCCTGATGTTAGCCATAATTATAAACATGAATTTTCTTTCTCAACCTTAATATCATTCATTTGAATACTTATATATCCCTTAGATATAACGTTTCACTCTGAAATCAAAGAACAAATTTTCCTGTTCGGCAACAGTTCAAGAATATATTTTGAAAGCTTTCTTTAATGAATTGATTTTTGTGGTAGTGAAATGCCAATGTTTATTGAAACATAGCTCTACATTACAAAGACTGGAGTTTGAGATGAAACTTTCATATTTCAGAACTGGTTTCATGCCACAGCTTTGATAGGGAGGAAGAGATACATGCACATTTCTTGTACATTTGGCAAACTTTCAGAGATCCCCACCTTCATTCTTTAAGTTTGGTTATTTGAAAACAAATCAACCAAACTGAGAAATACAGTAGGAATTATCAAACAAGAATTACATGTGTAACTATAAATGTGTGTCTATAAATGTAAATTATATAATAGTAATTACTCATTACAATTATTTCTGCTCGGCTTCTTCTCCACAACCTACCATAGTTCTATAATTAAAGTCCATTAACAGTGTAGAACACTTTCCTCATAACTGTACTGAACTAGAGCCTTACTGGGTCAGACATTGAAGGTCCACTGAAGATTCATCTTCTCTCAGGTTAATGAGGCTAGTAACCAATGCTTAGGTAAAAGAGCAAGACCAGGAAAAGTGCATCGTCCTACTGCCCTACTACTAGTTCTCCCACTATCCAGCACCTTCAAAGCTGTAAGTGATGGCTTTACATTTAACAGCCTCAATGAATTTTTCTTCCACGAATTTCTCCAGTTGTTTTCAGAACCCATGTGATCTTCTAGGATCCAAAATGTTCTGTAGCAAGAATTTCACAATTTGATGGTGTGCTTTCTTTTGTTCTTTTCTGGTTTGAGCCTGCCGTCTCCAAGCTAGAAGAAGTATCACTGTATGCTTCCCCTGTTCTTACACTGTTTCTCAGATGCGCACTGCTGGCCACTCTCTGAGACAAATCAGTGGGCTACACTAATTTTTTGTCCAACCCCATTCAGCTGCTCTGATGTTTCCACTACAGTTACAGAATCAAAAATAATTAACCTGCATTGGGAAGACTCACTGGTGTATTCACACACAGAACTGTGCTATATGAAACAGTGTTAACACATAAAACACCACCATAGGTAAATGTATATCCAATCACAGTACTGGTGTTTCTCAGATGAATGAAATGGGCACTGAAGGCTCCATATTGTATATTGACATAATCAGACTTCTATCAACATAGTACTGTAGTTAAATAAATGACCACTTACAGACATTCCCTGTGTTGTCAAAACTTGTAAGAACATCTTCAACATTTAAAATTCCATTATGAAATCTAGAAGACAAGAAAACAATAATTTTACCACCTTATGAACAATCAAAAAATGTCTTCCCTCTTCAGAAAAGAAGCACATGTTCATTTCTCACAAATCCCTTTCACAGACATGTAGCAAACCAGTATTATTTTTGCCACTAGAGGGAAAAAACTGAGACAACCACTCTTCAAAAATTCCGTGACTGAAAAGTCATGAACATCGAGATTGTTGTTCTAAGAAATTTATACTTTATTTCTCAAAATTAAAGTATTTCCAAAAAGCAGAAATTTTTGCTTAGTTGAAGAAACTACATATAGTAAAGAAAGAATTTTGGAAAAGTCAGTTCTTGGAAGAGGAAAAACAAAAGACTGTTTTGAACAACTGTACAAACATTCCTATTTCCTCCCACAAAATCAATAACGTTCCATTTAATTAATGTGAACAATGAATGATTAATGTGTTCAGTGAACTGCATTTTCTTTGGTTTTACATAACCACGTGCGTAACTCAAGTGACATAAACATTCAAAATTGGGGATAAATAATTAAATAATTGAATGTCACACACCAAATTTAAACTTCAGAACACAGTTAGCAAATTACTGACAGCTGCAGAAAGAACATGCATCAAATTTCAATGAAAATTTGTCTAAGAAGCTTCCTGTATTCCAATAAATGTTACAGATGTCAGGCTAGCTGTATTCCCCACAAAAAAAAAAAAAAAGCAAATAAAATCTTTTAAGTATTCCAAGCTAATCTCGTCTCAAGTCAAACAAAATCAAGAAATCCTACCCTTAGCTAGCCATTAGATCATATAGTCGTTTCATGAATGCATTAAAAATTCTAAAAGGAATTCAGCAAGGCAGTAAAGTACAAAATGCAGCCTTTAAAAATGCTAAAAATATGACTTTCATGGCTGCTTGGGAACATATTCATTTGGAACACTTGAAAAAGTGGAAGAAATCCAACAATTCTAGCATTTACAAAACTAGTTCTCATTCTTTTCTTTCCTGAAGAAACACTGTTACAATAATGACAAAACCTTTACTTTTTGCAAACATAAAAAAGTATACTTAGAGTACAAAAGGTATTTATGTTTTCTGATAAGCATAAACATTAAAAAAAGAAACATTTAAATATTAAATTTTGAAAAGTTAAGCGGCAAACAGCAACAAGGCTAACTCCTAAAAAAGTGCAAATCAAATCGAAATGAAATGAAGAAAATAGAAATGAGGTCATAAACAAGGGCAAGAAAATATATCAAAGATATTAAAAGTGACATTCAAATGGTCATTAGAGCTTTTCTTCCAGCTACATAAAAACAAACCAAAAATGAATTCCTTAGCTGTACCAGAGGGTGAAAGCCCACAAAAATTTTGATAGATCATGTGGACTAAAAATGCATTCTTCTTTTTTTTTTTTTTCTGGCAAGTTTGCTTTCAATGAGATTGGCCAACTCAGGCAATTCAACTTGTTGAATAGTCACCAGAGTTAATGCAAAGAAAGTGACAGAAAAGAGGGTAAGATCAGTAGCAGTGGTGTGATCAGTTCTGCCAGCCACAGCTGCTCTCCAAATTGTCCCCTGCTGACTCCTTAGCATCCTGCTAATTCCATTACCCTGCATACCTCTAGAATCGCAGAATGGCCAAGGTTGGAAGGGACCTCTGGAGATCATCTAGTCCAACCCTCTCCCGCTCAAGCAGGGTCACCGACAGTACATTGCACAGGATTGTGTCCAGACAGCTTTTGAATATCTCCAGGGAAGGAGACTCCCTCCACAACCTCTCTGGGCAACCTGGTCCAGTGCTCTGTCACCCTCACAGTCAACAAGTTTTTCCTCATGCTCAGACGGAACTGCCTGCGTTTCAGTTTGTGCCCGTTGCCTCTTGTCCTGTCACTGGGCACCAGGGAGAAGAGGCTGGCCTCGTCCTCTTGACCCCTCTCTTCAGATACTTGTAGACATTGATGAGATCCCCCCCCTCACTCTTCTCTTCTCCAGGCTGAACAGGCCCAGCTCCCTCAACCTTTCCTCATAAGAGAGATGCTCCAGTCCCTTCATCATCTCAGTAGCCCTTTGCTGGACTCACTCCAGGAGTTCCATGTTTCTCCTGTATTAGGGAGCCCAGTTAGGGTCTACCGAATGGCTGAAAATGTCTTATCCCTAAATGAATGTAAGATTGAGGAAGGGGGAGGGAAGAGATGCAGAGAAAGTAAAAGCAATATTTTGATTTTTGTTCACATGTAGATTTCTCCTGGGACAAGAAGTTATTTCAAATTTTCTGATTTCTAGGTGCACAGAGCCCATATATAAAGGACACTTATCATGCAAATCTCCAAGTAAAGCAAATAAAGATGAAGATGAATAATTTAGCACTCCAATACCTGTAGTAAAACCAAATGATATGAAGAAAGAAAATGGAAGGAAGCAGGGTGTCCTCGTCTAGAAAAAAACCACAATTGATACACTCCGCAGACACAGAGTAGACAAAGGAAAAAAGGAAAAAAGTATACAAACTTAGTATTGGCCTTAAAATTATCACTCAACCAAATTTCAGGCTGTTTCCAAAATAATCATTTATAACTGGAGACAAGAAGTTGGCAGCTTTGAGAACCACAGCTTCAAGAAAAAGCTAAGATTCCACAACTGATGCATGCCACACTTCCATTGTTTTCAAGGTTGTCCTGAATTTTTGTTAATGTTTTATTTAAGTCAAGGAATGTTTTTCCATCTACATTATTTTTGGTACCCTCAACTTTCATTAAGGATCAGTTCCCCCTCTGATTATAAAACATTCTGTCCATAATTAAAATCAATATACACACACATTTTTGAACACATTTTTACATTTATCATTGAATGGCCAGAAGCTTGTGGCCTCCAAGCACAAACAGAATACAACCCAAGATATAGTTTCTTGGCCAGCACAGGAATTTTGTCACTCTCTTCTGGCTGTGTATAGCATTCAAAGTCTCTTCCTCTGCTCTCTGCCTCAGCACTCTCTTGCTCTCAGAAATACAGTTAATAGCAAGCACTTAAATAAGCCATAATTTAATGATAAGAAGCATCCAGCTTTGCTATGAGGAAACTCCTTCTTCTGCCCAGTCCTCCAAATGTCCACTCCACACTCATCCTGAAACTGCTCAGGGTGTAAATTTTACAGGTGCTTCCTTTTGTCTAATCGGTTTATGAACTCTTCACTGAACAAAAGCAGGGAGCAAGCTGAATCTCCTAAAACAGGAGGAGTAATCAGCAGTGACCTAGACAGCAAAACCACTCTCGTTTATTCTGGAAAACACATCTCTGGTCTTACAGATACTACTGTTAGGGACTATTTTAGACTATTCCTCATTAGCAATGAATTTTCTGAAGTTAGCCAGCATGATAGGAAAATACCTCTTCCTCCTGATAAAGTTTTTTCTCCCTACACCAGACTAAAGAACAGGTACTTAAATTCCATCGGTAACCATTTCACAGTTTGGGAACCCAATCAAGGGAGAAGAACTTGCCACAACTTCTAATGCACTAACTGACAAGTTTTACAACTAAGGATAGCAACATAACAAGAGCTGATCTACTTGTGAAGGGGACAGCTCAGAGAGACAAACTTCCAAATAGCAATTAACCACATGTTTTTCCATTAGGAGCTCTATTTGTGTAGCCTGGAGGCAAACTGCACCAGCTACTTCTCAGCTCTTTGCCATCACAAATCTGACTTGCAGACTAAAAGTTACATGCATCTGTAAATTCTCTACCCCCAAACTGGGCCATACATATCACACCACTTAATCCCACTCTTAAAAGCCACAACCTCTAGTTTGGGACCCGCTGCTCTGCATATATCTCTCCAGCAGTGCTGTAACTGCTGCTGCTTCACTATCCCATTCCATCAGCTGCTTCTCCATTACCTAGCCCAGAGAAAACAGTTCATTAGATAAACTGGCTCCAGATAAATTCACTGCAGAATTGATCAATGTATTTCATCTTCTAAATACAGAGAGAAGCATTAGAATTTAGCACTGTCAAATGTGTCATGAATGCTGCACAGTTCAAAGAAGTTTGAAGCTCTCACTGCTAGGATTAACGAAGAAAGTACTTTAAACCAGCATAAATAAGCATCATGGAGAAAGTGGATCTCAGTTCAGCACAATCAATCTGATGTACAGTGTTCTTGTGATGATAAATCTTCAAGGTACAGTATCCAAGAACTGGTATGGCTGAGGAATTGACAGAAGACAAATCTATGAACGATAAACTAATTTAATTCATGTTTCTTCTGCTAGGAAACACCAAAATTCCTTACTGTGTACTATGAACAAATTACCTTCGGATACACAAATAAAGTTTTACAGAGAGGAGGGCAGAATTATCTTTAAAATGTATTAACGTTCCTCCCTCTCCAATTCAGGAAGCACAAGTGGCAGACTTTTACATGTATTTATAATATTCTGTATACAACAGAATAAAGATTATCTTTCAGTAGTTCTCTATTAAGGTATGCTTTTCATCAGTCCTTATGAAACAAAGTTCCTTCTCTTTTATATTACTCTTCAGCTGAGTAAGGGAAAATAATACAAATGCTTAAATACATATACTAAACTTTAAACGATTATGAAGATAGGCAAAGAAAAAAGCCCACATACCACACACAAATGAAACTACAATATTTTGGGAAAATGAAAGGCAGGATAAGGGTAAAATTGTTATTGCTGTGGGTACTTTACAAAAAGGCTTGCTGAGTTTCACCATCAATTGTCATTGCAGCCCAGTAAGAATCTCAGAAGAATTTTCTGCAAACTTTGTATCTAATCATACGCTTTTTTTCCGGGCCAGAGTACAGCAAGACAAGATAAATTCCTCTTTTATTCCAGCTGAGCTCTCAACTTAATAAGGTAAGGAACTCAAACAATGGCTTCTTTGTCTACCAATTCTTTTAAAAAATATAAAAGTCTTGGACAGTATGATGGAATAGTCTTAGTCCAACCAAGGAATAAAACAGGTGTCTTTGCCAAATCACTTTTTAATCTTTCCTCAGATAGGTCTTGGACAGTATAATGGAATAGTCTTAGTCCAACCAAGGAATAAAACAGGTGTCTTTGCCAAATCACTTTTTAATCTTTCCTCAGATAGGTCTTGGACAGTATGATGGAATCGTCTTAATCCAATCAAAGAATAAAACAGGTGTCTTTGCCAAATCACTTTTTATCTTTCCTCAGATAGGTTGGCCTGTGGCCAAGCTTTGTGTTGCTTAATCCATACATTGTCTCTTAGCAAGCAATAAATGGAAGAGAAAGATTATCATATCCCTATAAATTGGCCATAAAAAGTAGGCAATATTCCTTGATACCCACATCTCTTCATTTTATATGTCTACATCTAAAAAAAATCCTTTACATCTTAAGTATGTTATTAGCAGAAATATCCTATAGGAATATCCAATGGAATTCACTCGTAAATCATCTTCTCATGAATCACTTACAAAGGGCAAATATCACACCTCTCATTTCTAACCCAAAGGTCTACAATCATTTAACAAACTTCTTTCAATTTTTATCTGAAGGTTCGCATTCAGAATAAAGGCATAACATCCTGCAAAAAAACACTTAATGCTCTTTAAAAAAGATTTAACCCTTCCAGTAAGCTGCTAAAATTGCTCTTTCCAGCTTTTCATTTTAGTATTTGCAGTACCAAATTACTGATCAATGGAAAACATTTTACCAGAAAAATAACTCATTTTTTCTCTAATTGCTTAAAATGAGCCTACAATTTTAAAATAAATCCATAGCCTGAAAAAGAAAATTTAAAGATATTGATTGTGCTTTTAAAAAAAAAAAAACAAAACAACAAAATAAAAGGATAATTTTCCTATTTAAAAGACAGACACCATGGCCACAGTAAGACACTACATCTTCATGATCTATGATCACATCATTGATAAAACTATTCAATATAAAATTTAAATTTAAGAGCACATTCTTGACTAAGAAGAGATGGATTGGGAAATGTAATGTTGTACACGTTTAAACAAAATAATACATTTAAAAATGGCTTTGCTTGCTGTTATATTCCTATCACCAAGAAAGCAAATACTTAACATACACATAATAATTGAACAGCAAAGTGAAATATCACCTCAAATTAAAAAGAATTTAAACAAAACTAAGAAGTAAACATAGAAGCTTTATGAATAAAAACATACTTCTAATGGATAAAGGATCCAAAAGGCCAGATAATATGTGTGATGAAAGATGTCTTTTTTGCTGGAAACTTCATTCAAAATTACGTTTATATTTGTCACCTGCAGACTAGATTATTTTTGTTTGCTGTATCCAAATCTGAACGTGAAAACTGCACCAAGATTCCAGCTTGTACCGAGTATGTCTGTCCAACTTCTCCATATCAGACTGCCATAAATATACAGTCTGATTCTCAGCCTGGTTTCCTAAGGAAATTTAGGGATTTATTTCTTAAATGACACTAATCGCAAACAACATGAGAGAGCAATTTCATGTATGCAACCACCCAGTTCATATCATTAAGTCCAGAACATAGTGTAGGAACATCAACTAAGATACAAATCCAAATAAGACTAGGCTAATCAAGTGAGATTTTGTATTATAACACAAAAAATTTCATTTTGACAGAACTTTTCATTGCTAACAACAACAATCACATTCATCAAACACTCATTTTCACATCCCAGAGTTATCATGAAGAACCGCAGTACTGACAGCACGCTACACATACCTCAAGAAGCCACCTCCCATCACGTACTATGGATCTACAATTCACTAAGCGTAGGAGAGGTCACTGATTAACCAGAAGGAAGGTATGGAGACAGTTCAATGTGGGTTTTTAAAATGAGCCAAACACCTTCTTGCCTTAAGAATCTAATCAAAACAGCACATAAACCCAGTTTACATATTTTAATCTAAAATTTGACTTACTTTTACTAGTGATTCTGGCTTCCTGCTGTGGAAGATTTTCATCAACAATAACTCTCCAATAAACTAGTGACAGAAAAACATAGCATAAACTCTTCTTTCTCCAAATGAGAAACTAACCTGAATTTGGTTAGAAAAATAGCAGCTTACTAAACAAGCTGCTTTGAGAAGTTCAGGAAAACATGCACGTGACAGGTAGCTCCTATTGAAGCTTCTATTTGCCTAACAGATCGGTCCTCAAGTGTCCCTAGTACAGTAATTCCAGCTAGGTCATAGCATATCTGAATACACAATTCGATAAGTTTTGATAGCTCTTGAACTGATACAGTTTGACCTTTAGACTTTTTGCCAAAAGCCACTAACAACCTTATGAACTTTCTAAAGTATTTAGTCTTGTCTAGATATTAGCTGACAACCCTTTTAACATCCAACGTATGCAACTGGCTTTCCTGAGAAGATGTTAATGCATGAGGAAAACTTATGTAGATGAAAATTGAAAAGCACTTTTGTCAAGATTTCATAGGGGTTGTAGAAACATTGTTTTTCCTTGCCAAAAACAGCTCTCCTGCTCAAGTACAGTGTTCTGGATTTATCTGACTGATGTTCTTGTTATAATAATTAATATTTCGGTATGATAATATTTTGCCAATAGGAGGAGGAAAACAGAGGAAAGACTGGCAGGCATACAGAGGAGCCTTAAGTTTCCAAGACAAGACCAGTTTCCAAAGATGCAGGAACGCTCACTCTAAGGTTTATATCTATACTTCTAGATACACAAGTCTCAGCAAGGAGAACTGTTACTCTGTGTATGTTGAACTGTTAGTATTTTAAATAACTGCTTCTGCAAAAACAGGGAAGCAACTTTATTTAATACAGACTTAGGATAAAGTGGATTTTGTTACAGGTATTTATACTTTGGCAACGTACGCAGGGCATATTTTCTCCTGCCTTTCTTTCTCATTCTCCAATATTTTGAAATAAAAAGTATATGCTATCTACTGTCACTAGTTCAATATAGAGAGAAAACATTTTAAAATTTAAGTCTAATTGTACGTAATTTCTGATCATTGTTTCTAAAATGATCACTGTGATTACTGTTTTTATAGAACGTTGAGTATTTTCTGAAGAGGAACCAAATATGGGGAAAAAAGGAAATCTCCACCAGGAGACAATCTCCCTATTCTCCTCAATATAGCTTTTGAAATCCAACGTGAACCTGCTATAGCACATAAACAGTGCACGTTCCTGTTAGCTAAGCTCAGAGGACCAGAAAAGGTAAAAAACAAAAGCCCCAAACTCAGAATTCTATACAGCGATCACCAGTAAAAAAAATTCATGCCCAAACAAACATGCTTGTTTGCAACCTAAAATTTGAGCTGTGTCCTATCATCATCAAATGAAGTACTACCATTAGCCAAACAACGAATACTAAGTAAAAGGATGATGTGGGAAGTGATGGGAACATAAGTGAACAAATATTAACCCTGAGAGCAAGCCCAGCCAGACACTCCTTTGACTGTTACACGGCCAGCACAGGTGAACCTTTGTCTGCCTCCTACCTTAAGACTCATTTCTGTAACTAGTAGATCAAGTAAGGGACACTGAGTGCTGCAAATCATGGTCATCAGTTAAGGAGACTGAATGAAGAAGTTAAAGATTGCAGCCAGACTTACTCAGCCTAAACCCTACCTACATTCCTTATATTTCCTGTTGTGTGTGCCTCTAAAGACCTAAAGCCAGGAAAGAGAGACACTGCCCACAGAGATGAGCTGGACTGTGATCACCTGGCTGAATCCCTAGGATCCCTGACAGTTCACAGGAAAGGTCTGTACGCAGAAGAAATGCTGCATTTACTTGTATTACAAATATATTTACAAATGGAAAAGTTTTCTTTTGCAGCTTTTTAGCATCAGTAAGCATAAGCATGGAAAAATGGAAAATTATAAAGCTTTAAGCAATTTGATATTTGGCTTTATACCCAGCTGCAAATTTAAGACAACCAGCATGTGGAGTGTTTTTTTTTTATAACCTTGCAAAATGCCACAGCTAATGGTGGTCACTTGTTTGTGTTAGATCTCAGTCCCTAAGAGTGACTTCAATTTAAAGGTCCCAGTTAAATAAAAACGCGCTTTACAATTTCAGTGAGTCAGGCGCTCCAGAATATCGTCTACTGTGCACAGAATGCAAAATCCTACACCCTCAGCAGGGCAAATTGGAGGCTGCAAAACAAGTACTAATTCAGAGATGCTGAAGTTACTGTTGCAACGATACCTTTTGAGACACAAACAAGTTACAGATATGTACAAAACTGCACAAGGAAAAGAAGACAAAAGCAAGGGAGAAGAAAAAACTCACAGTAATGAATGGACAGAGCTATAAATATCTCTGTACTGCTAAAGCTACTCAGAAATTGTTAACGCTTCCTTTAGAGTTTTTTTTTAATATTTTTTTAATACAAATCTCCTGATTTGTTTTCGCTGATCTGCAATAAAATAAATTTATTCATTAGGTAAAAACTCTGTCTGTAAGAAGAGGATTTTTTTCATTCTTATCTCTTCCAAATTAACTTCCAAACTATTACTGAGTTTTATGAGAATTATTAAGAGGAAATTTAATAAAATACAGACCACTACCAAAAAAAGCTTTAGAATACTATGAATAACATCATGTCATTAAAATGTTTTGTTAAGATCACAAGTAAATTTGTTCCGTTTTATTACTTCCTATTTATATCAGGAGAAATTGAACATCAAAACGGAAAGCTGTTAGAGATATTAAATAAATGCTCATATTTGTACTTTGTTATAGGTACAATTATCCATATTGTCTTTCAAGCTCTGGCCCTTCAGTGAAACGTAGTGAAAAATCATACTAGCTGCTTACAAACAACTCAAAATAACAGCTCACAGTTTATTTGTAAACTATGCCCCAGTTGTACAAAACACTAGAAGACTGATTAACAAGTTTTGTATTTGAATCCTCTACAAGACGTTAGAAAGTACTTAAAACTTGAATGATGGTTACCTTAAGGACACACTATACTCAGGATAAAAGATGCTTTTATACTGAACCCAGGACCCAGTCCCCTCTTCCACGTTCCGGTCTTCTATTGAAAAGAGATTGAACGATGTGAACCTTCTTACAGACACTTGTTGGAGATGCACATCTTTCAAGTGCTTTTTCTTCAGAACCTTTGAAATTAAGAACAAATTAAACATTAAGAACAAAACTTTCAAGAAAAAAAAACAAACATAGGCTCATTTAACTGCAGAGTTAAATGCAGGAGTCTGGGATCAACCATTACAGCTATGTTATTAGTTAATAGCTATGAATAACTAGTCCAAGTACGTCAGGCATGAGAAAAATAATTGCGGTATTGATGGCGGAGGTCAAGAGAATGGGTTATGAATTTATTGTTTCAGTAACTTTAGAGCAAATGTAGTCTTGTTTACAACTAAATAAAGTTGCTTTTTCTAACTCCCGCTCCAGCAAACCCATGCAGGGATTATACAGGCTGTTAATTTTTTTAATCTTTTCTCACATCATTACCCCAAAGAAGGTTTCATAGACCAGACCAAGCAGCGCCCTCACTAAGCAATTTCTGTCCCTCTCACTGCTACTACAGGTGCAAAGAACAAAGAGTATCTTCAGTAGAATTTAAATGATTAAGCCACAAAACACGATCCTCACGTGCCTGAGTGCTATGTTTTTGCCAGGTAAAGGACATAGTAGCTTAAAAGTCTTCTGCTGCACACATCCTGAAGGGCTACCCAACTTGCCTGAGTTGAGCAACTTGCTGTCTATCTCCGGCCCCAGACTGTTTCAGTTTCCACAACTGCATAGTCACCTACCATGCCTCAGAAAAGGGACTGATGCATTAGCCAACCTTTAAGCAACATCCAAACACTTTGAGAGCACTGAATTCAGCATTAAGAGATGGAAGAAGACAAGGAAGTGGCAGAGGCAGAGAATATGACCATTCAGATTTTGTATAACGGTCAAATGATTAAAACACTTGCTCTGGAAAGGGAAAATGCAGGCCCAATGTCCTGCTTAGACTGCTGCATTCAGCCATGCTTCCCAGAAGAGGACTATCAACTCATTTGTACAGAGCAATCTGATAAGCAACCTGTTCAAGCTGTACCATTTTACAGAACGCAATGAGCATTTCCATGCCAGAAGAAAAGTCTTATGTTTTATTGTTCAGGAAAGTGATGTGGAAGGAGTGGAGAGATGCCCTGGGTATAAGTTCTTTCTCCCAACATTCGAGGGGAGAATACATAATATATAAACAATTGCCATTAAATTGTTTACATCAAGGTGGATAAGCAGTCTACAATGATGAAAAAAGGAGCAGAAAATAAACTCATTGCTGTAAGCAGACAGAGCTCTACATGGAATAGCCCTACAGAGTAAGAGAGTTCTACAATTTACAGTTTTTCCATTCCCACTTTTTGCAAACTAGAGCTAAACTTGAAGTCAAATGAGAAGTAGCTCTTCGGAATTACAAATATTGAAATGGAAGATTTGCATACTGGGTGCGTACCATAAAATAACGGGCCAGAGATTTCACTGCTGCGCTGCAACCTTTGTCAGCAGCGCTTTACCTGGAAATGCACTCAGATCTAGCAGCCCTACAATTTGGGAGCATGACCTATTACACTGCAGGATATCTAGAAGTCCCACATTAAGGGAGCAGAGCAATTATATTTGCTACATATGCTGTTGTTTCTCATAGCTGGTCTGATGAATCAGGGTCACTGTGTTTGGATCCATCTTCACTGGCAGATCTGAGCATATGAAGGTACCAGCATTTTTATCAAAGTATTAAAAATGACTGTGTGCTGTCCACACTATCACTTCTACTTTTGTAACAGATGGGAAGAACATGCAGAGGAAGGAAACTGTAAAAACTATCAAAATAGGAGAAAAGAATTAAAACACTGTCAGAATTAACACTTTCATGTCATAGCGACATGCCTAGAAACAAAATGGACTATCTTGACAACCAAAACAATTTTCTGAGACGTCTGGATTTTTTAGAAAAAACAGAGATGAGGCATTACTAAGAGGAAAGGGATCCAGCAATGACAGCACTTCTCTGTTTCCAGTTATTTGCTCTACAGAGACATCTTCTAACCATTCTGTAAAACACATATTCTGGATTAGCAGAAAATCTCCTGAGCATTTGAGTTCTCAAAAGAGCATTTCTCCTCCTTCAGTGTCAAACTAAAAAAAGGAGGTTTAAGATCTGAAAATTACATCAGCAGGTCAGATCTTTTAAAAACTTAACTAAAACTGAGAAAATAGAGCACAGAGGAAGAATATGTTGCATTTTTACATATGGATCAAAGTTTTTTTCTTTCTTAAGTCAGCTCCTAGAGACATCAAAATATACTGGTGCTATAGCATAAACTGATAAACAGATGTACTGTTGCTAGCACAAACTACAGACAAAAATACAGGGTAACAAACCTATCCAAAATTGTAATGATGTTTTGAAAAGGTTGAAAGATATTCTTCTCTATTTTCCTGATGCCCTTCCAATGAACTTGAATCTCCCCAATTCCCTGCATGCTGCCATTCTAAATGAACGTGTCCCAGGGACCTATACAACTAGACCTATACAACTAGTACATAATATCAACGTAAGCTTAAGGCTTCTCAGCAGTATAGACAAATTCTGTTTTGTGGTGACGGCACAGTAGAACTGTGACGGGGAAGGAATCATCGGACACCACTGGTCTATGGTAGGGACTGTACCTCTTTTTCTGCTCTCTCATTAGCTTAGCTCAAAGTTTCTCTGCATATTTTTGTCTCTAAAAATCCCAGAAGCCTTGTTTCACTTTCCTCGATATCTTTTGTGCCTATTGAAAGGTCCTGCCTTCTGCACAAGATCAGCGTAGGAGTACAGAAGTTTTGAACTTGTGCATAGGTTACACATACAAAATCATATTTCAGGTTCTGTAATAAAAGATTGTCTCCTGAAACATGATGCCTTCCAAAAAAAGGGGGTGGAGGGGGCAGAAAATTCTAATGCAAACTCTAAATTCTCACTTCTACCATCTCCATTTTCCCTTTCTCACATGAATGTTTTCTTTCCTCTCTAACTACACCTAGCAATATAAAATTCTAAAACAAATAGATTATTCTCTGTTTACCAGAATGATAAAGCAAACCCTAAAATTGGGATTAGAGGAGTGCGTGTAGGCAATTAGGGAAAAACAAATAAACACACACAACCATCCATTCCACCTACTCAATTAGCAAATAAAAGCAAATATGCAAAGGATGATCTCCAGAAGAGGACTGCCTTGTAATTGGCCAAAACAGGTCTGAAAGCTGAAACTTTGACACATTAAGCTATTACCACTGGCATATCATTTTTACCTACCCCCAACTTTCTACCTGTAGAACGGAGACAAAAATATAGCCAACTCTTCATTATATACAGGGTTTTTTTTGCAGGTTTCTGATTAAACTTGCTGGCACGGTTTTAGCAAGATTCAGGCACAATGCCATGCTAACCATCCAGTGTAATGTGGAGATCAAGCTAACATGTCATACAGGCCAAAATTTATTCTGTGCTGATCCAAATCAGGCACCTCAGTACCAGCTATTCTCCTCAAGCCCAGAGGAGCAGAGACTACAGCGCAAAGGTTCTTCGCATTAGCTCTGATCCAGCAGAGATTACGTCCTCCAGCTCAGCACTGAGCCTGGAGCCATCAGCTGCATCCGCACCAACCTCCCCACTACTTCAGGACAGCCCAGTTAGGCCAGAGGTATGTAATACAAATGTAGGAACAATCACTATTCCCATGTTGTTTTGTACTTTACTTTCTAAATCCTGAAAGTGAAAGGAAGGTTGACTCGTGCTTAGGCACCACGCCTTCAGACTCTAATCAAGACCAATAATCCTGCCAATTTGCCTCAAGATAAGCAGTCCACCGCTGCCCACTGCGTTGTACGAGCTTGTGCTCCACTTGCTTGTTACTATGTGGTTCCATAGATGAACGTACAGTATTTCGAAACAGAAACAAGAAAAGCAACAGCTACCTGGTAACAGGCTCTTTGAACAACTTTGAGACTGCAGCTCCCCAGACTCATGAGATACCGGTAAAAACAAAGGAGCTGGCTGGATATAGGACTGGGGTTTTGACCTAAGGTGAACCCAAGCTCTTATAGCTCAAGAGATCCAGGTATTATAAAACTCCAAACACAAATGAGCCGATGACATGAGTAGAAAGGAAATATTTGGTAGGATCTTTCTAGAATCTATGTGAGTAACTGCCAAGAGGTGTTCAAGCGCTTGTAAAAGAAAAAAATGGACTGATTGTTTAGTGTGGATCTCCCTCCCCAGTTCAGAAATATTAGAGATTTTTCCAGTATTGGTTACTAAGAACATTTTCAAATAAATGTTTAGAAACTAGTAAATTATCACTTGCTATCAGATGAAAAGCTTCTCTAATGAGGCATTTCCATTTAAAATTTCAAGTGTACTCAGCATTTCATAATTAAACCATGAAAAAGAAAACTCCTCACATCATTAAAACATATAGCATTGAAAAATGCTTGAAAACATCACCTATTCTAGAAAGATTCTAGTAAAATATTATCACAGATCAAAATCACAGGGCCCTGGGTATTTAATCGCTATATAAGGACCATATTTTGGACTCCCTATAAAACCTAAAGATATTTGATCTGCTTTCCAAAAAGTACTTACGAAGAAGGGCAGTCATCTGAAATTCACTCTTTACTCCATCTCATTGGCTCAGTTGCACTAAAAGCCAAATTCAGTTATAACTGATGTTCTGTACAACTCCGTTCAGGTGAATGGCACTGACTGGAAGATAATATTTTGCATACGCAGGAAAATTTCTATCTAATTAGCTATAGCATAATCTATAACTATACCCTGTCTATATATCATCTGTAAGATTGTATATTATTTATTTTTTACAAATAGTTTATTTACCAAATTGTTTTATTCAACTTCAAGCAATTAAGTCTGAGCAAACTCAGACTAACAAAGACATGGAAAAAGATGTGGAGCACAGAGATAGAAGCAGGATGAGATGAAAAACTTTTTAATAAAGTTTTTCAGTTCGGCCAAAATAAAGCTACTGCCCTATCCTCCTTTAGTATCTCTTATTCACCTCTGGGAATAAAAGTAAATTAGCAGGTGAGCACACAAAATTTCTCCGAGAAGGACTGTGAGAAGAAGAGCAAGAGGAAGATAATAGCACAATACATTAAGCTTAGAGATTTCAGGAAAATTCTTATTAGACTGGTGGGATCCAAATCCCTTCTCTCCCCTCATACAACAAGAGGCACATTACCAAACCTGGCATATGCCTATTTCTCCAACTTCCTCGGTAAAGACTACAGACTGGTTAATGCCATGAACTGTACAGACAGGAGGAGTTCAAACAAAGCCTGACAGAATCTACTCCAGTCATTTATAATGCATACTACACATGTAACTTACTGTAGCATTTTGTTAGCAAAGAATATTTTCCTTGATTCTGACAAGCCAAGTTTAAAAAAAATTGCAAAACTTCAAACTGAATATATACATAAAACATTTTATTGATAAAAGAACCACAGATGTAATTATGCAAAACTCTAGTTCTTTATGCTAGCTTCATAGGATACCTGATAAAAGGGCTTTTTTTCTTAATTAAATCAGCTAGCACACACTCAAGCGTCCTTACCATAGCAAATCAATTCGTGTATGCATTGAATAAAAGCAAATTCAATATATAAACACACCACAGAAATGATTTCAAGTAAGGGGTTATTATAAGCAGTATGAAAAGCATTTTTAAAAGCCCTGTAAGAAATACTTTGACGGTGCTCCTTTACAGGAGGATATAAAGGAAGGTTGATGCCTTCCTCCAATCCATAGATACATCTAAGCGCCACTGTAGTAAAGAGTGCAGAACTGATTTTTACTTCAGATGTACCACTAAGATTGCATTGATCCTTGTTCACTGTACCATAGACAATCGACAGAAAAACTGAAGAACATGAAAAAATAGGGAATCTGCAGAGGAAAAGGTCACACATACATGAGGTTTGAGGAAGAAACAGAAGCTTTCTCCTCAAATACCTACAAACACACCCCTCCCACCTATTCTGTTGTTATGAAAAGTTCCTTATGATTAAAATAGCCAGCAATACACCAAAGGTGATACGCTGAAAACAACTAAAAGATAGTTTGTCGGGGAGTACAGCTTACATAGTTTACTAGAACAGAAACCTACAAAGACAAAACTGATATTCCTATCAATAACTTTGGCATTTCCTGCTTTAGCATATAATGAAACACAAGTTTGTCCAGTTGAACAGGAGTGGAATCTACAAACCAAAAAAGACACACCAAGAAAAGGTCAATATTAACCTCTCCACGCCTTCCCTTGCTGTTACACTATAGCACTCCGGCGCTCTTCCCCCACTTATCCCTGTCAATTAAACTGCTCTCATCAGGCCTCACCCCACTTACTGCCTTCTCCAGGCCTACCCTGAGCCTTCGCAGCCCCCGTGAACAGGCAGGCAGGGAGGGCTAGCTCTGGGCAGCTCCACGCATCCATCTGCACAAAACTGAATGTTTAAGTCTGGGCTGTAAATGTCACATCCAATAACAAAAAATTAAACAGATTATGATTTTTTAAGCCTTGATTCCTCTGTAGATGAGCATAGGTATAATTTTCAACCTGTGGCCTTGCACTGCTCCTCAAGGGTTCAAAGAAGTGAGGAAGGCCATAGCCTACAAGCTACTTTTCATTCAGGAGCGCTGGCGTAACTACTTGCTGCTTCTTCCTCCTGTCCCCTCACCATCACCATCCCCTCCCCCACAGATACACAGATAACCAGATCGCAGCCTGTTGGGGATAAAAGGCTGTTTTTCTTGCAAGGTGAGCTTTCGGTTGGATCACACCCCACTTCCCTGCACTGCTTACTCTATGAAGTCTAATTTGGGGGTGGAAGCAGAGGATTTAGGCAGCAGCAGCTACAAAAATCAACTTGAGCAACACTGGATATAGCATCAAAGCACAACCTAAAAGGCCCAAACTAATGCCCCTGAGCTTAAATGGGTCATATAGGTTTCTCTCCAACCCCCCCTCGCCCCCCAAAAAGTACTTAGAAAGCTGCGGACTGCTTTTGGTGTTTAGACACACTGGAAAGCTGGGTGTATATCTAGTGTATCTATATATATGTATACACTCACAGAGACATTCATATACACATACTCTTTTTTTTTTTTCTTTCCCTCAGAAAGCGGACTGCAAAGCTGCTCCTAAACCCCGGTGCACACTCCTCGCAGTCCCTCCTGTCAGACAGGCGCAAAGCCCCACGCAACCCCAGCCGCCTTCGC